CAAATAAAACCAATAGGTCTGTCTTAGAGAGAGTGAAACCAAGTTTCTCCTTGGAGGCTAGGATTTTGAAGCTCCATCTCACATACTTTGAGCATGTGGCCAGGAGGGACCAATCCTTCAAGAGGGGCATCATGCTCAGAAGAAAGGTGGAGGGACAGTGCAGGAAGAGGAAGACCCCTGATGAGATAGACTGAGACAGTAACTGGGGCAATGTGGATAAGTGTGTCGGAGTCAGTGAGACTGGCTCAGGACAGGGCAGGCTTCAGAGCTATTGTACAAAGGGTTGCTAACACATAACAACAACAACAATATTCTACCCTGGAGCCTGCAGAGGTAGGTTCACACTTGATTTTAAGGATTCCCAGGTTCCAACACATGCCCAAAGTCCTCAGCTCCACATGACAACCAACATGGCAGGCAAAGAGCTTCACCATCCTTGACTCAATGTCTTCATCTGTGTGATGGAGGTAATATCACAGCCCTGGCCAGGCCGGCGTGAGTTTCAATGAGTTAGCAGGACAGGGCTGTGTCAGCTGGTACTCTCACCAGCGCTGCACACTATGTCAGGGAATCCGCTATGTCTCCTTGCAGCAGCAGCAAAGTTACTGGTAAACGAAAACTGTTCCCAAGCAAACATCTCTAGATGGTGCATCATTCTCGTTCCAAGAACATCAGCGGCTTGGAGTGCAATTATCCACATGTGAGCCTAGGACCAATGCCCGCCTCGCTCTCTCATTGGAAAGAGTGGATGGGGGAGGAGGGGGAGCAGTGTCCTGCAGTGCTGAAGGCTTGGAACCTCCTGGCTGCAGGGTTCCCCCAACTTTGAAGCCGCTCTGCACTGTGGGGACCTTTTAGCAGGACTCTTCACTCCTTGGCAAGTGAAGGTGACACAGAGCTGGCAGTGGTCTGTATAACCAGCATAGATTGAAGCAGGCAGCTCAGTCCAGCATCTGGACCTCTCTACAACTGCCTCTGCAAAATGAGGTGATCCCAGCTGCATCCCCAGGGCTCCCACACATCTGAAATGAGCTCGTGCCTCTCAAGAACAGGTCTGGCTTACAGAATGTTGTAACATCTCTGGTTGCACCACCCCCCCACCCTCCCACCCCAGGCCTCCCTGAAGTGCTGGCCTAGTGTAATACACAAAATGGCATTGGGGTGGGGAGGGGACAATGGTGCGGAGGGCAGGTCCCCATGCAGAAGGCTGAGTCGGATGGTGGTCCAGCCACCAGGCAGAAAGGGTGGGGAACACGGCCCATTTGAGACCCTCATGGCTTGCCAGGAAACCGGGTGGGGCTGCTGCTCTCCTTGAAGCCCCTCCTTTTCCATCCCCTCCTCAGACCTTGCAGGCTGTTGCTAATGAGAGTTCAAAGCATTGAGGGTGTCCATCCCAACCCTTCACCAATTCCACTGAACTTCACACCAAAGTCTCTCTGGAATGTTCTTTCTCCTCACTCACCGGTGCCCCGCTCACTGGGGCATTATGGGGCCACTGGTCCCAGCCCTCTATCTCTTACAGGACACTGCTGACCCAAACCGTGAACCACAAGGAGCCTGCAGCCTGCCCACCCAGCCAGTGAGCTTCCCAGACACCGCTTGCTCTCCGGAAAAATGGCTCAGGGCCCAGCCTCAGGCCAGTGCTATGGCCTCTCAGACCCACAACAATGGTAACTTTTCCATCATGAAGGGCCCAAGGGAATGAGTGGTCAGGGGGACAGAGAGAGGGCAGCTGAGGAGGGAACAAAGGGAAGCCTGGTCAAGCCTCAAGGAGGTATGACAGACAAGACTGGAGCATTTGCAGAACATTTACAGATCATCTGTAACACGGGGCAACCAGGCCTGTCAGGCCCTTTTGGTGGGGCTGCTTTGTGTCCGAGGCAGTTCCCACACTACAAAGTGAGCCCAGCCCATGAACGGGAAGTCTGTCCCAGCTGACAGGCCATCTGCTTCCCACCAGGCTGGACTCATGGAGCATGGAGACACAACCAGGGTGGCTGGTTACCAGGGGTCCCAGGATGTGCAAACCTGGGTCTGAGGGTAGTTAGACCTCAGCTGGGCACACATCATTCATGAGGGAGCCTGGCTCAGGAGATGGCCCCATTAGTATCCACCCAGATCCTCTGGAGGCACGTCACTGGCCAGGGTGGGGAAAACAATGGCCAGATGAGGCTCTGGGGTGGGCAAGCCAGGCTCCCACCTTGAGAGGCTGAGGGACCACTGAACAGGGCCCTCTGCTAGATGATCCGACAATGACCTGCCACGTCAGGTGTGTAGGACCAAAGCAGCCAAAGCCGAATGTGGGGCTTCCAAAGTGATCAGGGGCTCAGCTTCTAGGAGTGAGACCTGCTCAGGTGTCAGGCCCTTTCCCGAGAGCCACTTACAAACAAGTTTGGACTTGAGCTAAAGGTCCTGTACAACTGTTATTGGTAAGTCCTATCAAGGTGGGACTGACCCATAGCTGATCCTCCAGCGTGTTTTCAGAGACAGTAAATCACATGGGATGAGATGGAAGGCCCATCTTTCTCCTGCAGAGCAGCTGATAGATTTTAACTGTGTACCTTTGGGATTGCAACTCAGCTTCTTACCACTAGGCCACCAGAGCTCCTGCAGTACGACTAGGTCAGCCCAATTCTTAGTCTAGCTGCCCAGATGTGAGTCGACCCCCAGGGATCCTGCAGTGCTGGATGAGACTGCTCTGAAGTTCAGAGCCTGAGTGCAAGGGGACATCTGTCTCTCTGTCCCGGGCCCAGTCCTAGCCTCGGGCTGCCCTGCATGTGGTCAGCAGTAGTTTCAAGCCCCAAGAAGGAAAGTCAAGCCAATTTTCCTCAGCCGCAGAAATTCACTTTGAAGGAGCTTTAGAGAACAAGTCATAGTCCAAATGAATGGCACCAAACCTGGAGCTTTGAGTCAGGGGGCTCTATGCGCAGCGTCCTTCCCCACACTGAGTTGGGCAGGCGGGAGGTTTACAGTACTGTTAAAATGTGCCTGCCTGCAGTTCAGGAAGGAGAGAGCCTGGGGGCTGGCCTCTTGCCCAGCTCCACCAGCCAGCCAGCTCTCCCCAGTAGGACAGTGGCAGGCAGGAAAGGAATGGCCAAGATGAGGACCCTTGCTGCCCTCCCAGCCCCCAGACCTGCCGGGTCGCAAGGCTGCTCCTGTTGGAGGCCACTGATGTCCACTCTCTTCCAGCTCAGCAGAACAAGCTGCCTGTGAATATTCAGGTTTGCATAGCTCAATGGGGAGACCTCATCCCTGCAACCTGCTGGCCAGACCAGACCTGCTGCAGACCCACTGTGTGTTGGCACAGGCTGGGCCTAAGAGACAAAAAGATTGTAGACAACACTACGGTGCAACTGGGGTATAGCAACTCTGGTGGTGAACCTCAGAGAGAGAACTAGGGGCCCAGGCCCACAGAAGGGGTTGCACGATGGAGTAGGAGAAGGAGACAGACAGAAGGACTGACTTTAGGGGCTCCCACTGCCCAGGTTCTCTAATCCATCCTGGCCAGTTCAATCCTACCTCCCAGCTCATAAGCAGAACACAGGGAAAGGGACTTTGGGTTCCAACATATGAGAGCGCAGGAAGCTCAGGGGAGCTGGAAGGAGGCAGTAAGAGTGGTGAGTATCTACAAGCAAGCCACAGTCAGGGCTTTCACCAAAGGGCAGAGGCATCAACCGAGCAGCTTCCTTCCCTCTGGTCCCAACAGCACGGAGTCTACAGCTTTTGCTTGACCAACTATCTGGAGAGCAGGGCCAGTAAGTAGCCGAATCTCCTCCTATGACCTGCTTGCAGCTGCAGGGACCCTTAAAAGGACTCATAAGTCCCAGGGAAAAGGCGTTGAGATCTAGGCAATTCTCATTTCCAGATGCAAATTCCCCATCCCAGAACCCTCGCTTCAGCTGAAAGGAGACCTTCCTTCTTGAGTAACAGAGAAGACTGAGGTAGGTATCTGGGAGTAAGGACTACTCCCCTCTCTAACTCCGCCTGGAGGCCCACCCCCTTTTCCGCCCCCAGTCTGACCCCAGAGACCCAGCAGCTGTGGCTCCATCCAGGTGTACGGCCTGCGGGGCCTGCATTATGGGGAGAGTTGGGGTTGGCAAACACTGTCTGCAGCTCAGAAGAGCCATCAGCAAAGGGGGCCAGAGTCAGTCAGACCTGCATTCCCTGCTCGGCCAAGGGCAGCACGCCCACGCCCCACAGCACAAGGGCTGCACGCAGGTGCTACTCAGTCAGTACCGCCTCCAGAGACTCTCCAAGCTCGGCAAGCCCAAACCAGGCACCCTGCAGGGACCGAGGGGTGAGGGCCACCAGCAGACTCCCCTCCTCCCCTAAGCTGGGCTAACCTCAGCATCAGTTTTCCTTGGAGACCAACCCGGGACTGATTGCTGTTAAAGAGAGATCACTCCTGGGCCCGTTGGGGAATCATCTTTCAAAATTAAATTCATCTCACTCGCTCCCTGACCCCTCTCTTCTATCCATTCGACTACCAAATTCCTTCTCCACAGTGCCTTTCCAGCAGCGCGCCGCACACGTGTTTAGTTAACGCTGAGAGCAACTCCGTGCAGCCCCCATCCTCTCGCGGGTCCTGGGTCTGTGCACACACCCCCTTCCAGGCGCGTGGCCCCCTCCCTGAGCGCACCCCGCCCCGCCCCCAAAACAGACCCTAGAAGCCAGGCTTTAGAGGAAGTGAGGCCAAGCTGCTCACTTTTCCCTCTTAAGCCCTCTCCCTTGGCTAGACCTCCTGGCGAGAGCTGGGCTACCCCCCTAAACCCCAGGACCCCCACTCCACCCTTGTCTTTTTTCCAAAGTACAGCATCCACTTCGGCGTGCAGATCACGTACAGAGCTCCGCCCGCGCTGCAGCCGGGAGCGCACAAGGAAGGGGAAAGGAGGAGGTGAGAGGGCTCTGCTGCAGGGCCCCCCAGCGCCCTGCGTGGCCACCTCCACCACGGTTAAGGCAGAGCCGATTGTTCTGTGTCTGCCTCCGGAACGCCCGCTACTCACATGCTGAGCTGCAGCTGGGGCAGGCGCGGCGGGGCGTCGGCAGGCAGCGCGGGCAGCAGCAACACCAGGGTCAGGGCCACCGCGCGCCCCGCCGCTCGTCCAGGTGTCCTGGCCTCCGGGCGGAAAGTCATTGTGCCACAGCCTTGCACAGGGCCCCCTGATCCCGGCCCAGCTCATAGGCTGCCCTGGCAGCCCTCCGGAGTCTCCTTCACGTGAGGCATGGCTGGGAAGGTGCAGGGACGCAGCCACAGGTGTCCAGAGACCTTGAGCCTCTGCAGGTGCGAAGGCTCCACTTCCCGCCTCGCCCGGAGGGACAGTAAGGGGACCTGAGCGCCGGGTCCGCCCGCGCTCCCGCCACCGCTGTTAACGCAGCGCGAGCTGAGACCCGCGCCTGGAAGCTGGCCCGCCCTGGGCACGCCCCCGGGCACGCCCCCGCCCCCGCCCCAGCACACCTCTGATCCCTCCCCCACCTCCTTTTTCCTAGATGTCTCCGCCCCCGCACGCCCCTGACCCCGTCCCACACTGGCACGTTCCCGGTCCCGCCCCCTAGCACCTTCCCAAGCCCGGCCCCATCCCAGGCACACCTCCCCACCCTACATGCTGCAAGGACGACCCCCGCGCAGGCCCCGGGCCCGCCTCCGACCCCGCCCCTCAGCTCCCGCCCCGCCCCAGCACGCCCCTGATCCCGCCCCCGGCGCGCGCACTGCACTCAGCGGACTAGTTCCTGCAGCGAGGGTACCTGGGCTCCCTCCCAGAGCCCCGGGATCACCGAGTCACTGGGGCCAGAGGCAGCTGTCCACGGACCTAGAACGCTCAGCACCCCCCAGCCCTCCCTTCTCACCCAGACTCCTCCCCTAAGGCGTTTACCCGAGCACCTCAGGGTTCCCGCGCTGGGCCTCTGCCGCCACCGTGCACCCTGGATACTCAATTAGGAACCCACTAGCCTCCAGGTATTTTTCTTCCTGGTTCTGGCTAACATTTAGAGGAGCCCTCTACACGAGTGTGCGGCTCTGCGCTTGGTGCTTACCTCTTATGGTGCTGTTGACGAAGCATGGGGATTTCAACTACAAGGTCCACAGTTCTAATCTACCAGCCAAGTTGAGGAAGCCTGCTTACATAAAGGGTTACATGCAGCCTTGAAAACTCTAAGGGACAGTTCTATCCTGACTAAGGTCACTATGAGTCGACTGGAAGACAAAAAGGTTATGATGGGTTTTACTCCAGGGAAGAGGACCAGGTGGCTCAAGGAATGGGCCTGGAGTCCTGCAGGAAGTCTTTGAAGAGCGAGGAAGAAATTTGGGATGTAGGTTATGTGCGGTCAGGGAACTCCTCCAGGGCACTGAAGAGCAATAATGTCAGTGTAGAGACTAAGGTGCGCCTGATCCAGGCCACGGTCTTAATAATTATTTTGCTATGCATCAGAAAGCTGGATAATGACTAGAGATTATAGAAAGAGAATTGATGCCGTTGAGCTGTGGTCCTGGAGAAGAGTGTTGAATATACATGGACTGCTAGGAGAACACGTTTCATTCTAGAGAGGGTGAAACCAGACTGCTCCTAGGAAGCAAAGATTCTGAAGCTTCCGTTTGACATACTTTGAGCATGTTTCAAGGAGAGACCAGTCCTTGGAGAGGGACAGCGCAAGAGAAGAAGACCCTTGGTGAGATGGATTGTCTCAGTGACTGGGCTAATGGAGGTACGTGTGTCAGAGACAATAAGATTGGCACAGGATAGAGCAGGTTTCTGGGCTGTCGTAAATAGGATCACTTTGTCACAGGTGACTCAATGGCACATAACAACAACAAGGTATGTGAGACCAAACCTCTTATGTGTGCTTGAATTAGAATCGAGACTCATAGCTGACTCTCCAGGAGATGTTCAGAGGTGGTAAATTACACCGGAGGAGAGTGTCTATCTTCCTCTCATGGAGCATCCAGTGAATTTTAACTGCCTGCCTTTGGGTTGGCAGTGCAACGCCTTACTACTAGGCCACTGTTGCTGTGTACCAGCAAGTTGGAATTGACCCATAGTTGACCCTCGAGCATGTTTTCAGGGGCAGATTGATTGTGAGGGAGGAGATGACCCATCTTTCTCCCTTGGAGCAGCTGGTAGATTCAAACTGTGTGCCTTTGGGATGGCAGCACAGCTCCTTACCACTTAGGCCACCAGAGCTTCCTAAACTGAGGGTAAGCGAGCAGCAATAGATTGTATAGATCAGATGAAGCTGTGCTGAGGACAACCTCCTGAGCCTCATTCCCAAAGCCTGGCAGAAATCCTTTCTTTTGGGACCCTCTTCTAACCTTCAGGAGGTCTGAGCAAGGGAGAAAGCTCTAGAACCCTCACACAGAGTCACAGGGCACTGACTGGGGAGGGATCTGGGAAACAAGACCTCAGCTGTCCAAACAATGCAGATAGACCAGCCCTTCTCTCCCCACACCTAGAGGGCTATGGTCAGCAGAGTGGGAGAGGAGGTCCCCAAGGGCCAGCAAGACTATCATCACTGCTTTTCAAATGAGGAGCTCGGAATCATAGTAGGGGGAGCAGTGCCTGAGGCTCCCAGCCTGTAAAGTGCAGACCTGGGCACCGGGTCCAGGGACCAGCTTCAGGGGCTTTGCCACCTACGAGTCAAAACGGCAGCTCCATTTCTCACCCGTCTATCATTGGAGGCTTGTGTGCTGCCGTGATGCTGAACAGATTCCGCAGCACTTCCAGACTAAGACAAATGAGAAAGAAAGTCCTGGTGATTCCAAATATCAGTCAGTGAAAACCCTATTGGATCATGAACTTGGATCACAGTGGTCCAATTTGCAACAGATCATGGAGGTGTCACTGCATGCAACATTTCACTCCCTTGTGCATGGAGTCACCATGAATCAGGGCCAATTTGATGGTAACCAGCAAACACCACAGAGCCCACCCCCAGAAGACATGCTCCAGTCCATGGTCCAGTTGTGTGTTTGCAAACACCCCAGTGCATCCTTCACAGCTTTTCCACATCTTTACAGTTTGATCCTTCTTTTCTGGAACTATAGTTGACACAATATAGACAGTGAAATTAACTATGATGTTTAAGAATGTTCTCCAGCTACTCCCTGAATTCCATGCGACCTTCTGGGGCCACAGGTGAGGGTAGTTAGATGACTAATAGTTTCAGAAAGTTGCCGGCTGGAATGAAAGATGGGTCGTCTGCGTTAAACAGCAGGCCCCTGGGTAGGAGAGGAGCCAGGGTTCCCCCAGGTTCATAATTTATTGCACAAATTAAGCATCATGTAATGAGTTGACATTAGCTTCTCCAATTATGACAAATTAGCAGTTAAGATTCAGCAGTTTAAAATCCCATTTATGTTGCTTTCACAACTGAAGTTTTTTTTAGATTTTAACTTGATGCAAAGCAATGCGCCCGTATGTGGCCAGTACACTACTTATTCTACCTGTCAGCATGTTGTTGTCGTGTGTGTACTGTTGAGTCAGAACTAACCCATAGCTGACCCTCTCACAGATTTTCAGAGGCAGTTAATTGCACGGGAGGAGTTTGCCCATCTTTCTTCCATGGAGCAGAGGGTGGATTCAAACCGTGTGCCTCAGGATTGTAGCACAGCTTGAATGCCAATCTCTGGACCTGCCATGATTTCAATCTGGCCAAAGCCACAATTTCCACAGCCTGTGTCCATCAACATACAAAGACAACCCTCAGCTAGACAGAAGATAAGGCCTTTTCATTTTTTAAATTTTCCCCCCTTTTATTTATTCATTGTTGCACATTTCCCCTCCCAACTACCATTTCCCTCAACTCACCCCACAATGCACCCCTTGTTACAGATTATTTTCATACGTATAATACATACTCATATCTTCCTTTCAGGCAGTTCTTCCCCTCATCTGTTCACTACCTATTGTCCAAGGCCTTTTTAAGAAAGTAATACAATAGCATGTTTTGGGGGGCAATGAGTTGCTTTGTATGGCTCTTCTAGTCATATCTCTGAAACGCCTGCTAAGTGATTGAACTATCAAACTGATTGTCTTTGAGCCAGAACCTATCCATAGTTGACTCTGTTGAATTTTGAGCCTGTCAAAGGAGATTGCCCATCTTTCTCCTGCCTAGCCCTGCTGGATCCAAACTGCAAAAGAGGCTCTTCCTTGGGTTAGCAGTCCAATACCCTACAGACTAAACCAACAGAGCCCCTGGGTGGTGGTGGTGGTTGTTATGCGCCATTGAGTGTGACTGTGACTCGGCGACTGTACGTACAATAGCTCTGAACCTTCCCTATCCTGAGCCAATCTCACTGCCTCCGACACATGTACTCTCCTTACCCCAGTTACTGTGTCAGTCCGACTTATCCAGGCTTTTCCTTTCCCTTCACCCTTCTAAGCATGTGTCATTCTCCAAGGACTGGTCCCTCCTGGCAACATGCCTACAATATGTGAGATGGAGTTTCAAAATTCTAGCCTCCAAGGAGTAACTTGATTTCACCCTCTCTAGGACAAACCTGTTTATTCTCTTGGTGGTCCATGGTATGTTCCATACTCTTCTCCAGCAGCACAACTCAAAGGCATTGATTCTTCTGTGATTCTTAGTAGTTATCCATCCAGTTCTTTGATGCATAGCAAGTAATTGTGAAGACCATGGCCTCGATCAGGTACACCTTAGTCTATAGACTGACATCATTGCTCTTTACCACTTTGAAGAGATCTCTGACAGCATACATTCCTAATGTAATTAATCTTTTGATATCTTGACTGCTGGTGCCAAGAGTGTTGATTGTAGGACCAAGCAAGCTGAAATTGTTAGCAATCTCAATATAAACCATATATCATGGTGCTGTCTTTTGGCCCAGTGGTGAGAATCTTTGTTTTCTTCATGTTGCACTTCAGTCCAGATTAAGACTAGAGTCCTTGACCTTCTGCAGCAAGTGCTTCAGGTCTTCCTGAGTTTCATCAAGCAAGGTTGTGTCATTGGCATAACAGGTTGTTGATGAATCTTCCTCCAATCCTGATGCCCCATTCTTCCTTATAAAGTCCAGCCTGCCAAATGATGTATTCTGCATATAGATTGAAAAGTATGGAGACAGGAAGCATCCCTGACACAATCTTTTTCTGATTTTGAACTATGCATTGTTTCTAGCTCTGTTCT